ATCACGAGGAGGGTGACGAGCAGAATGACGGACTGGGGCACACGTCCTGCCCAAGGCAGCGCCGTGCGACTCCTGCAACTGAGGCCTTCCGTGGAGCTCCTGCTGCTGCCAGGGTCCTCGTGAGCAGCGTGCCGAAGTGGGCCTACGGCAACGGTCCTCGTGATGGGTTCTCGCCGAATCGGGCGGGAGGTCACCTGCAGACCCTGCCACCGCTGCCTCCGGCGGCGCTCCCCATGGGGCCACGATCCTCGTGAGGGGCGCGCCGTGATGGGCGGGAGTGCGCATGCGGACCCTGCCGCGGAGGCCTTCGGTAGAGCTCCCTGCTGCCAATCTCATCGTGAAGGGTGCGCCGAAACCGGCGAGGCGACGCATGCGGGCCTTGGCATTGCGGCTGTTTGTGGCGCTCCCCATGGGGCCACGATCCGTGTGAGGGGTGCGTCGTATGGGCGGGGGGGTGCATGCGGGCCCTGTCGCTGCGCCCTACGGTGGAACTCCCTATGCGACCACGGCCCTTGTGAAGGGTGCACCGAAATGGGAGGGAGGACGCAAGCGGACCCTGCCACTGTGGCCTTCGGTGGCGCTCCCTATGAGGCCACGGTCCTCGTGAGGGGTGCGCCGCAATGAGCGGGAGTGCGCATGCGGACCCTGCCGCTGAGGCCTTCGGTGGAGCTCCCTATGTGGCCACGATCCTCGTGAGGGGTGTGCCGAGATGGGAGGGAGGACGCATGCGGGCCCTGCCGCCACTGCGGCCGTTGGTGGCGCTCCCTATGGGGCCACAATCTGGTGAGGGGTGCGTCGAAATGAGCGGAGGGGGAGGCGCATGCGGACCCTGCCGCTGAGTCCTTCGGCGGAACTCACTATGCGACCACGATCCTCGCGAGTGGTGCGCCGAAACATGCGAGCAGACACATGCGGACCCTGCCACTGCGGCCTGCGGTGGCGCTCCCTATAGGGCCGTCCGCGTGAGGGGTGCGCCGAAATGGGCGGGGGGACGCATGCGGACCCTGCCGCTGAGGCCTTCGGTCGAGCTCCCTGTGCGGCCACGAAACTTGAGAGGGGTGCGCCGGAATGGGCGGGAGCACGCGTGCGGACCCTGCCACTGCGGCCATTGGTGGATCTCCCCATGGGGCCACGATCCTCGTGCGGGGTGCGCCGAAATGCGAAGGAGGACGCATGCGGACCCTGCCGCTGAGGCCGTCGGTGGAGCTCTCTATGCGGCCACGATCCGTGGGAGGGGTGCGCTGGAATGGGCGGGAAGACACCAGCGGACCCTGCCACTGGGGCCTTCGGTGGCGCTTCATATTGAGCCAGAATCCTCGTGAGGGGTGCGCCGAGATGGGCGAGAAGATGCATGCGGACCCTGCCACGGCGGCCTTCGGTGGCGCTCCCTAGGGCCCCATAGGGGGCCACGATCTTCGTGAAGTGTGCGCCGAAATGGGCCAGGGGACGCATGCGGACCCTGCCGCTGAGGCCTTCGGTGGAGTTTCCTATGCGGCTACTGTCCTCGCGAGGGGTGCGCTGAAATGGGCGGCAGGACGCATGCGGACCCTGCCACTGGGGCCTTCTGGGGCGCTCCCTATGAGGCCGCGAAACGTGTGAGGTGGTTATCGAAACAAGAGCAGAAGGTGGATGCAGAGATGGGAGTAGAAGAGAAATTAGGAACGCGAGGGGTAGAGGTATGCCGTCTCTGAATCTGCGACGCGGGTCGTCGCAGATTCAGGGACGGGAGGTGGAGGAGGGAGGAAGAATGACGCGGGGCGCTGCTGATTCAAATCGAGGCCCAAACACCACAGGATGTTTGGGAACAGAACAGCGGCCCAAGGGGCCTCGACACTAGCTCCAGAAGAGCATGAGAGGATGATGGCCAGGAGGAGGAGGAGGTAAGAGGATGAGGGCCAGGAGGAGGAGCAGGGACATGCTGGATATTCGTGTATATCTATATAGACTAGAACCATCGCGCGCGCGCTTCGCGCGCGCTCAAGTTCTAGCTAGGCTTGATGGGCTAACTCATGGGATCTACTGTTGGTCGTTTCTTGCATCCAAGGGCTCTCTTGGAGGCCCTGCGCAAGCCTCGGAATAACTGTGAAAACGTAGAAATCATTAACTCCCGTTCGGTATTGAACGAGTTGGGGCCCTCAAAGACTTCCTGGGTTGTTTTCTGGGGGCTGAGGGGGGATCTTAATTGTGGTATGTTGTGCAAGAGTAAACTGGGGGAGGGAGGGGGACGAACTTGAAACAAGGAACTGTGGGATTATTTTGTTCAAGTTGCCGTGCCTGGGCTATGGGTTAGAAATGTTCTGGATGCAGGCCACGGTATGTTGGGATGCCTCTCGTGGTCTTCGTGCAAAAATAAGCATGGGGCGAGTTTGAAAGAAACAGGAACATCTAAAAATACTTGTTTCGACTCATGGGATCATGGGACCTCGATTTCTACGGTGGTTTCAGGGGCAGCCAAGAGGACACGAAGACAATCCAAGAAGGTACCAAGACAGCGTTAGAGAGTTCAACAATATTCCCGACAAGTCGTTGCATGTGACCCCGAAGTCTTGATGGAGCTTGAGGAAGAGGATAGGGAGTAGGAGTCCCAACTTGAAAAACAAATAATCTCTGGAATTCATTCTTTTTAAGTTCCTCGGTCTTTGAAGTCTCTTGGAGGCTTTCTGGGAGCCTGGAGAGCTGACCGAAAGCTATCCTGGGCTGCTTGGAAGCGTCTTGGGGCCTTTCTTTGACGTTCTGGGGGCTTCTTGGGATCGTCTTGGGCTGTCCTGCACGTTTTTGGGGCTCCCCTGGAGGTCGGGAAGCGCGGTACCGCGAACGTTCCGCAGATGTTCCGGGAAGGTGCGGGACCCCCGGGAGGAAGGGGCGCATATTTGTTGTCTGTGAAATTCAAATTGTTTTTCAAAATTCCTCGTTCGTGGAGCGTTGGAAGCCAGAAAACGTGAGAAGGTTTTAAAACAGTTGACAAAACTAGTGCAAACCTATGCTTTTACCCTCTTCGGGCTCTCTCTGGACGGCTCTCGAAACTCTCTTGGGCTGTTTTTGGGCCTCGTCGGAGCTTTTGGGGGAGCCTCTCAGGGGTCTGGGGTGTGTTGGAGGCCTCTGGGGGGTCCTGGAATCCTCTCGGAGGTCTCTGGCGGCCTCCTGTTCCCGGTCTTGGGCTCATCTTGGGCCTGTTCTGGGGTGGTCTGGAGCTGTCCGGGGCGCCTCTTCGGCAGTCTTGGGACCGTCTTGGCCCGTCGTGGGGCCGTCTTGGGGGCCTCTTGGGCGGTCTTGGGGGCCTCTTCGGCCGTCTTGGAGCGTTGGAAGCATGAAATGGTGAGAAGGTCAAAAACCCTGAAACAAAACATAACCATAAACGATTTTAGGTTCTCCGGGCGCTCTCGAGAGGACTCTCAGAGCTCTCTTGAAAGCTCTTGGAGGCCTCCTGGAGAGCCGCCCGAAGGCTATCCCGGGTTGCTTGGGAGCGTCTTGGGCCTTTCTTTTACGTTCTGGGGGCTTCTTGGGGTCGTCTTGGGCTGTCTTTGGGCATTGTGGGGGCTCCCCGGGAGGCCGGGAAGCGCGGTACCAGGAGCGTGCAGAAGATGTGAGCGAGGTGGAGGACGACCCGGGAGGGGGCCCGGCGTATTTGTTTATATACATATATGTATATATAGAGATATATTTAGATATGCATAAAATAATTAATATGTCTATGTTTATGTATATGTGTATACATGTATGTATACGTGTACAGGTGTATGCCTATACATGTTATGTATAGATATATAGATGTGTATGTGTATATGCATGTATATACCGAGAGACATATACCCATATAACGTGCACGAGTGGAGGCAAGATGACGAGGAGAGGCGAAGGCACGGCGGGGGCCTCCCCCCCCCGCCTGCCCGGCCCCCTCCTCCGGCGAGAGCGGCTCCGCAGCCGCGGGGCGCGGGGGCCTGCTGGCGCGCAGGCGCGCGAGCGACGGGGGCGACGTCGCGGCTGCCGGCCCCCGCTTTGCTCCTCGCCCTCGCCCTCGTCCTCGTCCTCGTCCTCGTCGTCCTCCGTCGCCGCTCGCTCTCGCCTCCCCCTTGCGCCCCATCCTCCCCTCCCCCTCCCCAGCGTCCTCGGCGTCGTCCTCATCTTGGCGCCCTCCTTCGCCTCGGCCCATCCTCGGCCCCTGGTGGGTCTTTGGAGGGGGTCCAGGACGGTCGAAGAGGCACCCAAGATTGCCCCAAGAAGGGCCCTACAGGGGGAGCTCGAAGTAAAGTTTGAATCCATCCGTCTCAAGATGGTTTCCAAGACCACCAGCCTGCTCCGAAGAGGGAAACGTGAGCCCCAAGAGGCCCCCAGGAAGCTTCCAAGAAAAAACCTCACAGGAAAAAACCTCCCAAGAGATCCAATAATGTAGATTCAAAGGACTCGCGCCTATGAACCAGGAACGGTGACGGGATGGACCACGGCCATTCGACAGCTTCTCCTTGCCACAACACGCCAGACGGGACGGTAAGGCTGTCATGACGTTTCGCTTGAGACTTCCCCGCGCCCTTGTTTACCAAACGGACGCTTCTTGCATCCAGACATTTCCATGGCACGGCTGGATAACACAAGACTTCATTCGATCGTATGTTCAGTATGGCTATTCCCTGACGCTGGGGATTCAACATATTCATGGATGGAAGGCGTGATCTCTGACTCTGAAGCTTGAACTTTGCAACAGCCGGAGGGCGGACTCTCAAACTATCGCTTTCGCCTGAGATGCCTAGACATTTGATGCTTAAGCTGGACGTCCACATAACCACGGCACGTGTTGGGGGCTGCGGCTCTTACTCAAGCCTATCTGCCGCTACGGATTTCGGTGGATCAATGGCGCTCAAGATGGGCACCCTCAGCAGCTATAGGGATAGAAGGTGGCTGCTCTGCCAAGTCAGGCTCTCGCTTGAGATGCCCGAGAACTTTGACGGTCAGAAGTCTCAGCCCACCACCAGTCACATATATGGAGACCGCAATCGGGCTCTGTCCTCGGCACCAAGTGCGCGGATGGAGGGCAGGTTCTGGACGCCAGCTGCAGCTGCCAACGGATTCCGGCCCTGCTCCTTACAGTGGAAGGCCACCGTGTCCTGCCTCCTCCAGCTTCCGGTCGTCCCAGTGCGGTCAAGAACGGGAGCACTCGGGCGGGACTGGCCCGGGGGGAGACATCGACCTGGGATCGGCGGTACATCTAACAGGGGATATGTCGACCCTATCCCAGACTTCGTGTGCTTTTCAAAATGGACTTGAAATTTCGGGTCCAACCCTGGGAAATACAATGGGGGACGCCCATCCTCGATAGGGGTGCGTCCGAATGCCCCCCTGGTGGTGTAATTCGGAGTTTCCCTTCTTTCCTGGGCGGCTTCATGTTTCGCCGGGAAGTCGGAGGGTTGGGGGCGAATAATCAGCTGCGGACATCGCCGATAAATCAGCGACGAACCCCGAGAGCGAAACCTTTCTAGAAGAAGGAACCAAACACATAAACCCAAACTTTTGGCGCTCCGCGCGGATCTCTTGGGTTTGCGCTGTACCCCCCCTCCCTGGCGCGCGGAGCGCGCCACGGAGGCGCCGCCCGGGGGGCCCAACGCGGATCCAAGAAATCTGCACGGAGCGCCAAAAGTTTCTGTTTGTGTCCCTTCTTCGTCTTTTTCTTCTTCTTCTTCTTCGGCGATGTCTTCTTGGCGGGGTGAGCCGTCGGGCCCCGCATCGGCGTTCTATGGGCGAGTGGGGGGGCGACGCGCCACCCCTCTCGGCCTATCCCCCGCCCCTGCTGGTTTTTGGTGCCGCCTGTGGCCGCTCGGGACGATCTGGGCACCCCCGGACAACACTCGGCGAGGCGCCGCTGGTGGGGGGCACCACGCGAGGCTGGACAAAAACCTCTGGGTACCGACGAGGGCGCCCGAAAACCCCAGCCGCTTCAGCCCCTCAGCCTATCGCCCCCGCGGTTGCCCCCAATCGTTCCCCTCTCTAGCCTATCGACCCCCACTGCGCCCCCTCTATCGCTACCCCCCTTACACGGCCCCTGACACACAGCCATCGTGCTGCCCTAAAGGGACATAGCGCAGGAAACGCACGGGGATCTTCTGGCCACGGCCAGCCTCGGCCACGGTCCGGTTTTCCAAGACCTGGACCCCAAGGAGCGACCCGAAACCCCCAGAGCGCGAGGAGGAGGAGGAGGAGGAGGAGGAAGAGGAGGAGGGGGAGGAGGAGGAGGAGGAGGAGGAGGAGGAGAAGGAGAAGGAGGATGAGGAGGAGGAGGAGGAAGAGGTGAGGGAGGAGGTGGGGGAGGAGTATTTAGTACTCCGCGGGCCAGCCCGTCGCCGCGCTTCGCACCGAGGCCCGAGGCGAGACTAAGGGGAAGCGAAAGGGGGGAGAGGGGAGGGGGGGAAACACTCGCCCTCAGCCTGGGCGCCTCGCCTTGACCGTCGCCGTCGGCTTGAGAACCGTGGCGCCTATCCGCAGGATGCCCGCGCGTCGACATCGAGGAACAGCACGCCCACTGTCTTCAGCTTCACCGCGACAGCACGAGCGGAAGCACGAAATACACAGGCATGAAGGCGGGTGCTGCACGAGAGCCCCGAAGTCCCTGCTCCTGGTGGTGTAGCTGGTGGGCATGGGCCTGATTCTCGCGTTGATCTCGGCAACCATGACCTCCCAGTTCCTATCCAGGTCGTCCACATACAGGGCTTCGAGGTAGCAGTACGTTTCTCCATAGGGATCGTCCCCCAGCAGCGGCCACCAGCCGCCCAGCCAAGCCGAAGCCTCCTCCATGCACGAGTTCGCCACGACCAGGGCGCACGGGTGCACGTGCGGGCCAGCGCCGACGACCTCGACGGGCGCCTTCTCGATCAGGTGGTTGCTGTCCTGCTGCACGGACTGCGACATGCCGACGGATTCCCCAGGGTCCATCATCTCGCCGAGGGCCACTCCACCTACCACCTGGGCCTCCTGCTCCAAGCAGGATGTCGGGGAAATCGCCTCCGCCTCTCCTCCAGCCACCTGGGCGCGGCGTGGGGGGCCGACCACTCCTCCCACCAACTGGGTCGGGCTCCTCCCTCGGACCACTCCGCCAACCACCTGGGTCCCGGCCTCTCCTCCCGCCACCTGGGCTCTTCCCGACGCGGGGCTCTCACCTGCGAGTCCACCGCTGACACGCTCGGCCTCTCCTCCCACCACCTGGGCCTCCAGCGCCACCATGGCGGCAGCAGCGCTGGCGGACTCCACCGCCAAAGGCCACACCTTCGACGGGCACGCAACTGCGTCGCCTGCGGAGCCTTGCCCGAACTCCTCCAACAGGAGCACCACAGGAGGAACCTCCCAGACTCCAGGCGGCCGCAGCGGCCAGAAGGGAGCAGCACCACGACGGAGCCCGACACAATGACGGCGTACCTCCAGCCGAAGTCCCCCCTGGGCGTGCCTGAGCTCGGCGCCCGAGGCATTCGCAAAGCACAGACCTCCGCCATCAGCATGGAGAGCCGTATTGCGACGTAGCACATCAAAATGCTCCGGAACCTGGCCGGCCAACATCTTGCTCAAAAAGGGCACCGCTGCCAGCAGCCTATCGACCAGCTCGCGGTCGCCTCCAGACACGAGCGACGGATTCGAGGAGCTCGACGAACTTGTCTTTCTGAGCCACCAGCTGGGTGTTCAGCCGTGCCACCTCGGCATGAGCAGCAGCGAACTCGAGGTCAGCAGCAGCCAACGCCCGCCGTCGTGCGGCCGAGAGCTCGACACGCGAGCGCCATTGACCTCCATGAGGATCGCCAGGCGGCGACCCTGCCCGTGCCATCCCAAGCGGTCCCGCGCGGCCGAAAGCGGGCGGAACACACGAATTGAGCCAAAATGGCTACAGAGGAGGTGGGGGAGGAGGAGGAGGAGGAGGAGGAGGAGGAGGAGGAGGAGGAGGAGGAGGAGGTCGAGGAGGAGGAGGAGGAGGAGGAAAACATGGTTCGTCTTGACTGTACAGTCAGCCCGTATCATCAGGATGCACGGTAACGATGCAAGGGCCTTGGAAGGCCGTTTCGAAGCTTTTCGAGCGGGGCGCTGCCAACGAAAGTGGCCGAGGATGGACTTAGAAGGCCAGGATGCAAGGGCACCCTTGGGAAGGTTGCTCATCCTTATTATGCGGGTTGACTGTAGTGACGCCGCTTCTTGTTCCTCCCATGCCAGGGGGGTGGCCAAGAGGGGGGCGTCCAAGGGGAGGGATTCGCAGATCCTGGCCCGAGGCATGTGCGCGGACGAGGACGGGACCAGGGGACGTGTTGACTGCTGACACAGGAGGGGGGTGGGCATGCACTCTGGGGACAGATCACGACCCCCGCCATGACATGCACCCCCCCCTCTCGGGTCGGGCGAAAAGGGGGGATAGCAAGAGGGGGGGTTGAGAATCAGCTCACGTAGCTGGTTTTCCCGGCGCCTGTATCGAGGAATGGGCCCCTCGGTGGGGCCGAAACCAGCTACATGCAGCAAATTTCGTACCCCCCCCTTTCCCTATCCCCCCCTGTCGTCCGGCCCGACCCTCTCCCCTAAAGGCATCACCCCACCCGTCATTGCAGCGCCCTGGCTATGGCGAGGTCGGGCGACCGCGCGCCGCACCGCCACCCTGGCCTGCCCAGACGCCCTGGGCCTGTGCCGTGCACCCTCGCCCTTCCGCTGAGGTCGGGGGGAGCGCCTCAGGACTGAGGAGCGGGGGGGCGGGTCGCCAGCAGCACAGTACAATCGGGGCGTTGACCTCAGGAACCCTAAATAAGGAAAGAGAAGCCCCTGTTGTTCCATAAGTTAAACTTCGATTCCCCATCGAAAGCACAAGGAAACCTGAGGCAAGCTGTGAAACAATCACGGAACACCGAGCCCCTCCCCAACGAAAAGGGTTCCTTCTTCAGCGCCCCGACTGTAGACATACAGACGCAACGTCCTCCGCAATTGCGGATAGGAAGGACGGGGCGGGCGCGTGGTGGGTCACGGGTGGATCGCCGGTGGGCCGCGGGGTGAATCGGGGGGTGGGTCGCAGGTGGGACGCGGGCGGGTCGCAGGCGAGGGCGACAACGACGACGACGACAACAGCAATCACTTCAAAACTGTCCGCTCTCATATGCTCGCGCGTCATGCAACATGTATATCCCGAGCCCTCGATGCCCGCCCTTTTCGTTTTTGATCGTGCCCCCAAATGGTATGGCTTCATGCCTTGCCAGTGTGCGTGTTTTGCGCGGTCTTTACAACAGGAAGATAAGAAGTCATGGAAAGGGAGAGATCGAGAAGTAAACAAGTGAAGGAAGGGAGGGAAGAGGGAAGGGGGCAAGAGCGAGGGAGGAACAAATATAGAGGACGACATGGATCAACAAGATTCGCAATAGGGGGGCAAGGAAGTCTCAGGCAAGAGCGCGTTTCCTAGGTAATTGGTGAAGACATTCTGAACGAGAGCGTGATATCCGATCGACGAGAGGAGTGATTAGTGGATCAACTGGAAGGCGGTCTCAGGTGAGTGCGCGACTCTTGGAAAGCGAAGAGGTCTCTAGCGAAAACCCGGATTCTCAATTACGCGACCGAGGAACCCCACATACTTATATCATGGCTGGAGTGAGGATAGCTGAAGTGAAGCATGTGAGAATGATGATGGTGGCCGTTGCCCCGCCGATACCATTGGTGACGCCAGTCAAGAGGAGAGTGGAGAGGAGATAAGATAAGTTTTGTTGAATACGCATGAAAAGCGATCTGCGGCGCCCACGAGGCAACGAACTCTATGGAACGCGATCTTCGGCGGAAAGTCTCTGATCAGATCTGAGAGGAAGGCAATTGCGAAGGAACGCAACCTTCAGCGAAAAACCTCTGCCAGCGTCCAAGAGATAATAAAGAACGGAACGGTGTTTTCGACAGAAAGCCTCTGACCGCGCCTCAAACCGATGCGACCTATGACAAATCGCCTGGGCAAGCCGTTGCGATAGCCGTAAGACGCAATCATAATTCCATGAACATATCGGTGGTCCCCTGTCGCAGAGCCTAGCATAATGACCCAGCCTACATGAGCCAAGGTGGCTGGAATATCCTGGTGATGATACCGGTCACCTCGCTTGCGTCCCCCTGCGGCCTGAGCACGACCAGCACGGATAGCAAGCTTGCGTACCGATGTGCCCTGAGCACCACCGTCACGGATAGAGGGCGCCCACAGGGACGACCCCCATGCGCGCTCCCCCATGGTGTCGAGAAAACGCCACGCCTGCTGTGCCCTGGACGACCGTCACGGATAGCGGCCGCCCTCATGGACCACCCCCTGCGCACCCCCAGTGGTGTCCAGAAAACGCCACGTCTGCTGTGCCCTGGACGGTTGCGGCCGCGCTCAGGGACCACCCCGTGCGCACCCCCGGTGGCGTCCAGAATATGCCACGCTTGCTAGGGCAAGGACGACCGTCACGGATAGCGGCCGCGCTCAGGGACCACCCCGTGCGCACCCCGTGTGGTGTCGAGAAAACGCCACGCCTGCCGTGCCCTGGGCGACCGTCACGGATAGCGGCCGCGCGCAGGGACCACCCTGTGCGCACCCCCTGCGGTGTCGAGAAAGCGCTACGCCTGCTGTGCCCTGGACGACCGTCACGGATAGCGGCCGCGCTCAGGAACCACCCCGTGCGCACCCCCGGTGGTGTCGAGAATATGCCACGCCTGCTAGGGCAAGGACGACCGTCACGGATAGCGGCCGCGCTCAGGAACCACCCCGTGCGCACCCCGTGTGGTTTCGAAAATATGCCACGCCTGCTATGCCCTGGACGACCGTCACGCGTAGCGGCCGCCCTCACGGACCACCCTCTGCGCACGTCCTGTTGGCGCGCATGTGTTGCGTGGTGTGCGTGTCATGTGCTCTTGTGTGTTGCGTGCTTGTGTGTGTGCTGTGCTGTGCTGTGCTGTGCAGTGCTGTGCTGTGCTGAGCCGTGCGGTGCTGAGCTGAGCTGCGCTGTGCTGTGTTGGGCTGTACTGGGCTGGTCAGTGCTGTGCTGTGCTGTGCAGTGCTGTGCTGTGCTGTGCTGAGCTGAGGTGCTATGCTGTGCTGTACAGTGCTGTGCTGAACTGTGCTGTGCTGAGCTGAGCACTGCTGTGATGTGCTGTGTACGTGCTGTGTGTCAATGTGCTGTGTGCTGTGCTGTGCTGTGCTGTGCTGTGCTGTGCTGTGCTGCGCTGCGCTGCGCTGCGCTGTGCTGTGTGAGAAGGAAAAGGAGGATGAGGGCTGAGGAGGAGACGCGGGTGCGACGCGAGAAGGAAGAAATTCATACTCCCACTAAGCATGTGGGGAAAAACATGCGAAGAAGTATCATGCAGGAGCCGCGGTTGTAAAACCGCGGGTCAAGAATTCAGTCTGACGGGCAAAACTCCCACTTGTTAAAAATTACGCTACCGAGGAACCCCACATACTTACAGATGGCCGGGGTTGATGATGGCTGAAGTGAAACATGTGAGAATGATGTTGGTGGCCGTTGCCCCGCCGATACCGCAAGGACGACCGTCACGGATAGCGGCCGCGCTCAGGGACCACCCCGTGCGCACCCCCTGTGGTGTCGAGAAAACGCCACCCCTGCCGTGCCCTGGACGACCGTTACGGATAGCGGCCGCGCTCAGGGACCACCCCGTGCGCACCCCCTATGGTGTCGAGAAAACGCCACGCCTGCTGTGCCCTGGGCGACCGTTACGGATAGCGGCCGCGCTCAGGGACCATCCCGTGCGCACCCCCTGTGGTGTCGAGAAAACGCCACGACTGCTGTGCCCTGGACGACCGTCACGGATAGCGGCCGCGCTCGGGGACCACCCCGTGCGCACCCCCTATGGTGTCGAGAATCTGCCACGCCTGCTAGGGCAAGGACGACCGTTACGGATAGCGGCCGCGCTCAGGGACCACCCCGTGCGCACCCCGTGTGGTGTCGAGAAAACGCCACGCCTGCCGTGCCCTGGACGACCGTCACGGATAGCGGCCGCGCTCAGGGACCACCGCATGCGCACCCCCTGTGGTGTCGAGAAAACGCCACGCCTGCTGTGCCCTGGACAACCGTCGTGCTGTGCTGTGCTGTGCTGAGCTGAGCTGTGCTGTGCTGAGGTGCTATGCTGTGCTGTACAGTGCTGTGCTGAGCTGAGCTGTGCTGTGCTGAGCTGTGCTGCGCTGTGCGAGAAGGGGAAGGAGGAGGAGGGGAGGTGAGGTGAGGGTTGCGGGTGCGACGCGGCAGGGATGAAAACCAAAACCCCCTGAAACATGTGGGGAATGAGTGCTAGTTTCGAGAGGGGTACTTCACCTGGCGAAACACAACGGGCACGGGGGGTGGATCCTCACAGCGGAAGCCCAGTTCAGGCACGCACCTAAGGATAGTGTAAGGCCGTTCGGCCCCACCACCAGGACAAGACGAGCTCCTGATGGTGAGAAGTCTTGATGTAAGAAATCTTGGAGCACATTCTTCGTCGAGGTTTGGCCTTCCTGAGGTGCCCCAGATTGGTGAGACAGAGGCTTCCGTGGAGCACCTGCCGGCAGGCAGGTTTCTCATTCGACGGGCCCTGCTGTGTGCGGGGCTCGGAAGCAAAAAAATTGATGCCCGCCTCGGAGTCCATCGTACGGACCCGCAAAACTGGTCCCTGCGTTTGATCCCCCCCCCTGGATGGTCCTTCCGCATGGTCCTCCCCGTATGGTGCCCTCCGAATGGTTCCCCCGTGTCTCTGCGTGCTGTCCCCCTTTGTATGGTCCCCCACATCCTCCCCTCGTGTGGTCCCGAAGGGGACTCCAGCTCTTC